TGCTAAAGGTTGAACTCTGAATTCTCACAGGATCTGCCTTAGAAAGCAATTCATTTCTTCTGCAGTTGTCCACAATTAAAGGTCTTCCTGTCAAGGCAGCCTAGCCTTAGATTTAGTTGTTTCTGGAGCACTGTGCTTCATTCTGGGAACTTCCCAGGCCCATGTCCATTATGACACTTTCAGGGTCACTGAACTGATGTGTTCCATGGAATTATTCCCTCCTTCAGATGCCCTCTGCTCCCAGCTTCAACAGGGGAACTGTCTTCTCAAGCCACTTTAGCATATGTTTGAAGGGTTTTCATCAGATCCCATCCCACCTATCAATATGCAGAGTACCTGGCCTATCTATTAACCGCCAGTTCCTCTACTTGCACAACAGTTTACATTCTCATTAAGTCTTGTTTTTGCAGGTCTCTGCTCACCTCAAATACCCTAAAGCCCACTCTCTAAAACCTTTTCAATTATACATTCACTTAATATTATAAGGAAGACTTGTACAGAGGCACTGTGCAATGCTAAGATTCTGGGAGGGTTTAATTGAGGGCATAAAATCTTAAGTAGTCCAAATAATCTCCACTAATTTCAGTCCAGACCAGATGACAAGACAAGTGAGCATGAATTAAAATTACAGATAAACACTTTTAGAACAGATGTTGGAAAGAACTTTTCCCCCAACACTGGAAGTCATCAACATGCAGCAAAACCCTCCAAAGTCATTGGCGACATTGAAGATACAATTAGAGATGGTGATGAGGGGAATAAAACCATGAGGAATGCATCAGGAATTTTGGGGATGAGGTATAAATGATTGGTGCATTTTCCTGGCACAGTTTTAAGAATGCATGGTCAATAGCATTGGCTTTATTTTTCCTGTTTTCCTTTCCAACCTTTAAGTGAGAGCACCAGAAATTCCTGAGCAACCTTTTCCTGCTGGGTCTATATTCAGGTCTTTATTACTTATTTCCAGGAAGGAGTATAGATGTCACTCCAGCGTCCTCTCCTCCTCTCCGCCTACTGGTCTCACACTGCAAGGGGGCAGGCTCCCGCTATGGCTATTTCCTCAAGGTAAAGAGGAAGATAAACAAATTTCATGCTGCTGGCACAAACTGTTCTGAGGCATCAGAGAAAAGCTGCAGCTCTTCTGAGGGCTGTTCCACAAGGTGACTGAGATCTGAGCCCCAGCTATTGCTAAATGGCCTCTTCTACCGGTGTCCACTGCCTTTCATCCTTCTGCGTGTGTCTGCCCACACTGTTCTACAGTTCTCTCCCTAGGCATCCTGGCTATACCAACAGCCCTGTGGATGGCTTTAAGCAGCTTTAACTGGTCCTAAAGAGAAGGGCAATGCATTACAGCATTTGTAAGATTTCAAGGGTCAAGTTATCTTAGGCTCTGTTCTAGATATCAGTTCTGATAATACACCAAACAGTATAAGTCACAAGAACTTGTTATTAACAATAAGCCCTCAGATTTAGCTCACACAAAGAAAATAGTTAATGCAAAACTACAGTCTGCACCATTCATCTTGATTAGTGAATGGGAAGGAGGCAATAACCATATAAGGATACGCATGACACTCAGTAAAAACTTATCTGCATACTAAAACTAACAAGTTATGAGCAGAGGAAACTAGTTATAACTGAGCAAAGTGGGATTTTAGCAATATTTCATATAAAAATATGTAGATTCTATCATGGTACTAAAAATAGCATTGAAGTCATTGACATGACAAGGACAGGAAGGACTGCGTCTGTAGCTCAGTGACTGAGCACTTGCCAAGCACGCATGAAGCCAGGGCTTGAGTTCCCAGGGCTGCAAACACAAAGACGAAAATTCTCTCTCATAGGAAGATGTCTTCATCCCTTATTTGTCCCCTACATTTAAAGAATCAACTTATAAATTATAATCATCAGAAGGAAAGTTAGTTTTTTAAGGGGGAGAGCCTCCTGTATACTATATCATCAGCCACTTGGGGACAGAGAGCAACCACCACCCAGGCAAGAGCCCTAATGGGAATAAACCCTGGAAAACTTCAAACTCCTTAGAAAGGGTTTTGACTTAAGACTTCTGAGGAATGATATTCTCAAGGGATAACATCTTTCAAACTAATGAATTGATGCTTTGGGGGGGGGGGTGTTAAGTATGCTAATTGAAAGGTCTTGAGTGCAAAAATTGAAGCGCTCCAGCCACTTGGTTTCTGTAATCACTATCATCAGGGTGGCAAAAGTCACAGGGCTGCATCAGACACCATCACAGTGCTCATCCCGAAATACGCACTTCGTCTCATCCCACTCTTACCTTTTTCTTTACGTGGTGCCTGCCAAACTGTGGACAATATCAGCCCTCAGAGCAAATGATACAGCCTCTCCATGTGCAGGATAAAAATTACTTTACATAGAAACTGGGTGTTTCTCCCCTTTTCATTACTTTCTGTTTTAGACAGGGGGAAAAGAAGAGGGGCAAGAAAAACTGAATAATTTGCCTTGGAAGAAGTCCCTGGGCTTTCTGAGCTTTGTCAGAATAGTAACTGTTCAGCCCTTCCTTCTCTTGCAAAAGACATCAATGCAAATGAAAAGGTAAAAAGCCAATAGAAGGTAAAGGGGAAGAAAGATGTCTCACAAAATTGTGAGACTACTATGTTACAGGTAAAGAAGCTCTTGGAAGATAAATGGGAATGGATGGAAATGAACTAAAATTCATCAAGCACATAGCTTCAGATGTTAGTGCTGTGAGCTCATCTGCATTGATGTTTTGTTGCTCTTGAAATTGTAGGTTTTCATGAAACAGAGATACTGACTGCCCAAATAAGCATGCCTCTCATTTTCTGACTGCCCAATATGCAGAGCAGACCCATACATGTGTACAAGATATTCTCTCTGCTATGAGTCAACAGGAAGAAGGAAGTAATGTTGGTGACTGGTGCTAATGAGGACCTTAGTAAAAAACAATTCTTCCTTCATTCTGGTGAATTCTGAGATGGAAGTAATACATGGGAAAGACAAGAGAACTCGTAAGCCTAAAAGTTGTAATTGACCTGACTTCCCAGAAGAACTCCCTTTCCACCATATTTTTCCACAAAGACACATTCCACTTCCTGTCAAAATGTGGAGTTTTCAGAGAGGACAAAAGAAATTCACTTATCCTCACATAGATCCAGGTAAAACCAACAACTTCCAAAAAATGTATTTCCTGGTTGGGAGGGAAGGAAACATATATGAAAAAGGAGAAGAGAAAAACCCTCAGTTTCACACATGGCCCTAGACCAAGTCTGTGGAGCCTCACTCCTTTCCTTCACTTTTCTGTACCTGAGTCAGATTCAAAGCCCCTAGAGTGCTAGGAAGGGGACCCCCGTGAGTCTGCTTTTCAGTGAGGTGTGACATCTCTCAGCATCTTTATTGATAAAGAAGAGCATGACAAGTACTAGCCGAAGCAGTGACACCTGCTCAACTGTAAATTGGGTTAGAGCAATGCAATTGCTCTTGAATTTCTGTGGCCTAATCAATGATTCTGCTCTAATGAAACCGTAAATCAGAAGGGATTTGCATAAGCTGAGTCTCACTGGGCACCTCAACAAAGAGCATGTGATGGGCTTTGCATTAAATTATAAGGCCTACCTGACAACCTTATTGGTTACCAATAAACGCATCCCTCTGAAAATTCCACTCAATGTTTAGGTATTTCCAAAGCATCCCAGCTGCAAATATGCTCATAGTCATAAAAGCAGATAAATCAGGACAGATGCTCTGACGGTATGGTTTGCATGTTCCTGATTCTCAAAGTACCAAGATTTCCTAAGAATTTTACGAAAGCATAGCTCTTTCATGACCAGCCAAAGACAGAAGTCATAGCCTGAAATAAAAACACATCATGATGAAATATACAACATTTTCATATACAAAAATGTTCTAGGGGAGTGGTCAGTGAGTAAGGAGCTGCCGCTTGTTTTGGTAAATAAAATTTTACTGAAACACAGCTGCAGCTATTCATATACATATGATCTGTGCTGCCTTCCTGCTCCAGTAGTAGAATTTAATAGTTGTAATGGAAATCTTCTGGTCTACAAAAGCTAAAATGATCACATTGTGGTACTTTATAGGAAAAAAAAATTTTTTTAAGATAGAAAACTGTAAAATACAAGGTTACCCAAGATAAACTACAAGGCTGCTGAATCCTTCCTAATTTTAGAAGTGTGGAAGTCCCACCAAAATGGATCTAACCAGAGATTTGAGAAAGTAAAATATTGGGAGTAGATATTGTCTTTTAAAATAGTAGCTATCAGCTTAAGTGGACTCAATTTTAGGACTCTGAATAAATTCTAAGTTCTCCTTACCTATCTAATTCTGTCTGGGTGAGAATTTCAGAGAGGAAGGAATACTTGAGCTGAAGAAATAAGAATACATTTGGGGACAAAGGGAATTTCAGGAAGAGGGAACAAAACAATTTATACCCAAGAATTAATGAGCAATCAGTGTTACTCATTTCAGTCTCTTTTCATTCAAAGAAGTAAAAAAAAAAAGGACACACAAATCAATTTCATGAATAAAGGTTCACCATAAGTTACATTTTCTATGAGATCTGGGAATCTGCCCATGGACAAGAGTGAAAAGAATGCTTCTCAACCCTACTCACTAGAAAAATGTAATAATGATAAGGATGATTATTATTATAGGAACTATCATTAGCATTATTGTAGTAGCTATCATTTATCGGATGTTTATCACATGCTGGGCATTAGGCTAGGTGCTTATGCATTATCCCATTTAATCTTCACAGCAGCCTTAGGAAGTGGATACTATTATCATCCTCATTTTGCAAATGTGGGGACTATGACTAAGAAAGACAAATAGCATATGGAAGATTCTAAGCAGCAGAGGAGAGCCTGGAGTACGGGATGTTATCGTGATACTAATCATTAAATACACACACACAACACACTCTCACACACAAGGCCACCCCAGCCCTATCCCAAGCACAACCCTCCACCCCCACCAAGCCCACTCACCTCTACAGACTCTGCAGCACTGATTCTCCGGAAGAATGTGATCCTTCTCTGAGCAGTTCAAAGGAGGACATGTTTCTGTGATTTTTACTAAAACTCCACCCTGGAAGTTAAATATCAGGAAAACAAAAAAGATATGCATGTGTTTAGTCAACGGTACAAACCAGCAATACTCACTGTTAATAGCCTGTAGTGACAACAACCTGCAATAACTAACAGCACTCTGAACAGTTCCATTAATAATGATAGCACTGCAAACTACACTGATGAGCCTCCTGAAAAGAAGGCCAATTCCCTCTTCTATGTCAGCTGAGCCCAGTTTCAGGTTTCTTAGTGTCTTCTGTAGCGCAGAAGGATGCTGACAGTGTTGGCTGATAAATTTTTAACAACTGACTTGAGAAGAGGAGGCCTTATTTGTAAGGTTCACTGCTTTATGCCATGTCAGTATCCTAACAATGGTGGATTCTGAGCTACCAACAGGATGATATCCATGAAAGTAGAGTCGGAGAGTTCTGCACTATTTTCTTATGTGCATTAGCTCCAGTGCTCTGCTGGGTAACAGGCATTGCAAACTCAAAGATGAATAAAACACCCTCCTTTTTTATTTTTTATTTTTGGTTTTTTGAGACATGGTCTGGCTCTGTCTTTCAGGCTGGTCTTGAACACAGTATGTAGCCCAGGGTGGCCTTGAACCTGTGGCAACCCTGCTACCTCAGCCTCCCTAGTGCTGAAATGACAGGCATCCACCATCACAACTGGCTATATCCTCCTTGCTCTTAATAAGCTCACAGTTTGGGTGGAAGGGGACAAAACTTCTTAAACTATAAACCATAATATAGTCTAGCAAGTCCTAAAAAGATGTGCTCTAATAAAAGGATTATATGATGTCATGGGAGAGTAATTAATTCTACCCAGATGGGAAGAAACTATGGAGATGCCACACTTAAGGAAAATTGAATAATGGAAAAAAGAAAGAAGAGAGCTCACTGGCAGAGGAAACAGACAGGAGCTAAGTTATTGAGGTGTGAAGGAAATAAAAGAGGGTCAGGTAGATGAGCACTAGATTTTCCCTAGATATAAATAAAATCACTTACATAAAATGTTAAATATTCGGCAGCTGAATCTTTATGACCTCACTTCACCTAAGGTCCTCTTTGTTGGTATTACTAGAATCTGTACTTCGTTTCATGTAGAATTTTAAAAATGAATCCACTAATTATCTTTACAAAGGCTAAAGAGGCCCTTATTATACCTAAAACATTTAGTTTTTCTCTCCCATTCCTAGAAAAATATTTAAGGCAACCAAGAAACAAATTCAGAAAAGGAATCTCACTGAAAGCCAAAAGGGCAATTCCAAACTCAGTGGGGAGAACAGGGCAGGATGGAGTGGACAGCATGGAGAGATGGTAGTGACACTGGGTCTTCCCTCTCCAAGAGACCTGAGCATCCTGGGCCCCAGAACCCCCGTGACTCTCCAGCTGGGCAAGAGCTTCCATTACATCAGCACACAGGTTCTCACATATGAACATAAATATCATCTTCAATGTCAAATATAAATTTCCAACTACTCATCCTTTAGGTAATTTGTTTACCCTATGGCTCCCTCCCTTTTCTTGTAATTTTCCACCCAGAGGGACCAACATCTAGCATTCTTTGACATAACCTTCTTTGCTTCTCCTTTGCCCTTCATTTCCCAACCTCTTGCTTTTCTCTTGATTCTATCTTAGAATTGACCCTAAGTCCTGAAAATTGATCTTGCAATTGCCACAGGTTCAAGGCCACCGTGGGCATTGCAAGATCACTGGCCCCACTTTTCCCTAGATTCCATCTCACACCTCTCCCCATCACATGGCAGCATCAGACCTCAACAGCTAGCACCTGGCCTAATTCCAGCGTCCTTATCTGAGGTGTCTCAGTTTCTCTAACAGAGGATCAAACCAATGATTACAAGTCAATGAAGGCTAATAACTGTACAATAACGAGCATAGACTAAATTGTAAGGAAAATGCTGAATTACTATTACTTATTCTAATCCTACCCATTAATATTAATATATTTATTCTGATCCACTATGCCCTGACATAAATATGAGTGGTGGAACTGTGAAATCCTTCTTATTTGTTCTTGGCACCCACACCTAAGTTCTTTTGCTACTAAGGGCTCACCTCTGTCATCCTCACAGTCACCCTTGGGCCCTGACACCATTGTGTCCAGGAGCCAGAAGTAGCCTAGAAGTCCTCAGCCCCCATTGCCTTGGCCCAAAGCCACTGACCGAGTAGCACGGAATGTGCATTAGAGAAAGGACACTCGGACCATAACTAAGTTCCAGACACGGTGGTGGCATCAAGGTAAATCTCGCCTTCCGCCAGAAACTCCAACTTTGCTCAGTTTCTCCTCTCCCCTCTGGTCTCTTAAACAGCCTGACTGGTTTCTCCTGGGAGCACTGCGTTAATAAATCCTACTGGGAGCCTCAGTTCAAGTCTTCTGGGAGAACACAAGCAAAGATCATTAAGATGAATTTCACTCTTACTTTTGAAAATTGAACTGATAAAAGAGATTATCTCTAGGTGGTAAGATTCTGGAGTAATTTCCATTTTCATCTTTAGAGGTCTTTTCTCTACATTCCAAATTTTATAACATAAGTATATACCTATTTTATAAATCAAAACAATACCAAAAATACTATAGTAGACTTTTTTTTAAACAATCACCCATGAAAGCTTTTCTTTTTATAAAAGGGGCTTGCAGATTAAATCAGTGAGAAATTCTAATCAGCTTTTTAAATATATAATGAGTAAGGTCATAACTCCAAGTGTTTAAACAGAGAAACCTTTTGCATGAATTTCAAAATAATATGAACTGTGATTACTGTGGCAGAAGAGGCCTTCTACCCATCTAGTCCAGCTACATAATCAGACATGAACCTTTATTAACTTTATTTCATAAACTATCTCCTGCAAGAAATTGTTTATAATTAATATTTTTAAATCTTCCTGATTATGGTATGTTGTTGTATGACCTCTATATTGAGCTCTGTGTTAGTGGAAATTGTAATTCTTCCATTTTGGGTTTTTTTTTACTTCTCAGAGTGACTTTTTCATGTTATCTATCAATCAAATATAAGCACTTTCAAGTTCTCCACTCATCACTGTATTTCTACTAACATACAAAACTAACATCTTTAAGTCAAAAGTTATTGCTAAGTGAAAAAAATTGCAGGAAAGAAATAACTGGACAAAATAACAAGATTACTAAGAGAGTTATTCATCTTGACTTTTTTATTCAAAAACAATATAGTAACTGCTGGAAATACTTGGCAGAAAATTTGAAAGAAAGTTTGTTTAATGGTTAATTGGTATGACTGAAACTTTAAAGTAATCCCGTCAAATAGGAATGCAGGGATCTCTGCGTAGCCTTTTGTCAACTAGGCATCTTTGTCGGAAACACAAAGCACATAAATTATTTCAGTAATTATTTCCTTTATTCACTCAAGGGTAGAACTTACAGAGCACTAGTTTAGGTACCTAAGAGAAAAGTTAATCCATTACATAAAGCAGATGACATATGGCATTAGGGCTTAACTCTTAGAAAGGCTGCCTGGGAGAGACCAGAAGACCTCTCACCCTATACCCCTCACCCTCGGTCCCTGCTGACCACATCCACTAAATATGCTCCAAGCTCTTCTGTGGCCAGCGATAAGCACTATCAAGGGAATCACTGTGCCCAACTCTGACCAGTCTCAGACAGACTGAGAAGCGCTCACTCAATCTTTCAGAATCTACCCCTCTAAAATTCAGAGGTGAGAATTATTTCCAAATAAGTCTGTGAGTACCAGGAATGGCAGGAGGAAGGCTCAGAAAGGAAGTCAGAGAGTCAGACCCCAAAGGTTCTGATCCCAGCTAGCTCGCTCACCAATCACACAGCCTTGCTCTGCACCTCAGTTTCTGTCTGTACAGGACCTACCCCAGAGGGCTACCATGATTTTAAATGGGATGGTATGTTTGACACGCTTTAAATGTCACCTAAGAAATAGCAAGTGGTTAAGAAAGATTGCATATTTTTGTCAGTGGCCTATTTGTGTACAAAGTTACTATTTCATAAATAATTGCAGAAAGACAATAAATAAAAATTAATGACTTTTAAAAGAAGATGAAATTATTCATGTACACTCCTACACATACATGTGCATGCACACACCACTTGTGCAAAGAGAATAACCTATCTGTCTCAATTTCTTTGTAAACTGTACAAACAAAACAAAAGCACTAAAAGGTGACCTGAAGGGTGCAGAGCACCTACAATGTGCCAGTACCACTCAGATAAGCTGGCCTTTAAATCCATGCCCATGGCTTCCACAGGTCTGCTAGGTGCCTGCCTTGATTCTCTGACGATAAGAGAGACCAATTCATAATGATGACCTTACTAGCGTCCCCCACTGCTTCTGCTCAAAAATACAAAAGGAGCTGCTAGTTACAAGTGACAGATCTGTAGCTGGTGCTGGGATCATGGGCAAAATTGCCTGTAATCATCCCAGCTCTCTTCTGATGTAGAAGACAAAGGCACAGGATTTAGAATCTAAATCAATTCCTCTCCCCTAGAAGTGAAACAGGTTACAGAACCTGAGCTCTGTCCTATAATACAGGAGAACATGTGTGGTCCTACGAAATCATAAGAACAGCTCACATTTATGAGAACTTAGGCAAGCATGGAGTTCTTCACGTGCTTTGTCTCATTTAATCCTCTCCACATTCCCATGTGTGATGCGCCCAGGTTAGATTCTGGAACAGCACGCCTGGCTCCCTTCCCCCAGGCCAGAGAGCTTCCTTGTTCATCGACAGATCCTCAGTCTAAGGGACCCCTACAACTGGCACCTACTGACTCAGAGAGAATACCACACCTATGTGCCCACCAAATCCGCTGGACCCAAGCAATGTCTGGCATTGCCAACAGCAGATGACAAATTCAACAGGGGAGTGTAAGGAAGTTAATTCCTGGGACAGAGTCTGTCCAGTGAGAGACCGGATACAGGAGAGAGCCCTTCTCCCCAGGCTCCTATGAAGAACTAAATTTAAGTTGTATTAGTATCTCTTTGAAAGCTCCTGTTTGTCTCTAAATGCCTCATTGTCTTCAATGTATAAAATACATTTCTTCCCTTTCTCCAGGGATATGATGAAAGGAAAATGAAATAAAGTAGGTAAAAGCCTTGGCAAAGACAGTCTATTCTGAGGCACTGGGGTGCCATCAGCATCTCTGGAGATGCCTCAAAAAACCAGCTGTGCTTTGTTGTGAGGCCATGGTTTCTCCATAACACACCAGCTTGTATTTTCTCTCCTGACTTTTCCTTCACTTTCTTATGTCTGTTTCTCACTCTCTGGTCTTTAGGATTACACATCTTCTCCTCCTCTATGCTCCACCACCACTGAAGGGTAAACAAAGCATCAACACAGAAGTCCATGCTCCAGTCATGTTACATAGAACCAGGACTTACATATGTAAGTAGTAATATTTTGCACTATTTTTCCCAGTCAATATTGGGCAGGAAAAGGATTTCTGGTGAGGCAGTTCAGTACACGGGATAGGGACAGGCATTGTTTTTGTGTCTGTCTCTCTGTCTCTGTCTCTGTCTGTCTGTCTGTCTGTCTCTGTCTCTGTCTGTCTGTCTCTCTCTGGCAGAGAATGAGAGAGGGAGAGACTGGGAATTGAACCTAGGGCCTCCACACTAAGCTTCATTCCAGCTTTTCTTTTAAGTTTTCATTTTGAAACAGAATTTTGCTAAGACCTGGCAGTCTTCCTGCCTCAGCCTCACTCTGGGAGGCAGAGATCTCTGGGATTACAGATATGTGCCTCCATGCCTGGCTGGCAAATATTCTCTTACTGAAATTGGCCTTACCCACATTCCCCCAGGGCTGATGGTTGTGCCTGTAGAATTCTTTTATGGTTTGTGTCTAAACGTCCCCTCAAAGCCTCATGCAGTCACAGGGCAGGCTTCTAGAGTTTGTGGTTGACTCATGGCCCAATGCTGGAATTATGGATGTGAATGCAACAGGGAGCCTGCATATAAGAGACAGAAAAAGTCTTCTCTCGCTCTCCTCCCACTTTGCTCTTGTTGCTTTTGCTGTCTTCCACCACTTTGAATGGTTGCTCCTCTGCCATGTGCCACCCTGCCTTGGAGCCAGCTGATTATGCACGGAAACCTCCACAAACTGTGAGCTAAACAAACCTTTCCTTCCTTAATTTTGGGCATCAGTTATGTTGTCCCAGCAACAAAAGAAAAGTAATAAAGACAGAATCTCGTCTTTCCTAATGTTTGACTGGGCAAGAGGGGGAAAGGGAAAACTTGCAAAGGAATGTAAAAGCTCTTGTTTTCTCTTCCAGATGAGAACATGTTCTCTAACCCAGATCTGAATACACAAACACCACTTCCCTAACAACTAGGTAAAATTTCAGGATTTACACCCAGGTCCATTTGACAGCAGATGTATACTTTCAGCCACAATGTTACATGTTAACAGTAAGTAGACTACTCTCTTCTCCAGAAGGGAAAAGTAAGACCAATAGGTAGAGGTTCTGAAGAGGTAGATATTCACCCAGAAAAAGGAATTTCTTCATTGCTAATGTTTTCTATCCATAGGATAAGCTATTTAATGGGTTGTTAAATTCCCATCCAGGTATGTGCAGCAGGGCAAGGGGTTATGTGCGAGATATTTCAAAGTAGAAAATTGTATCACAAACTGTTATGTAGCTGGTCTCCAAAGATGCCTGTGTCTTTAGTGAATCATGCCTGCTGGTCCTCATGACCTTGCATTATCCTTCTCTGTGATGAACTGGGGCTGGCCATATATACCCAATAGAATGCAAAAGAATAGATAAGCATGGCTTTGCAGACCAGGTTACAAGTTGCACTGGAGCTTCCACCTTGGACTTGGGATGGTTTGTTCTAGGGGATGTTAATCACCATGTGATAAACCTCTGAGACCACAATACCATAAGGAGGCCCAAGGTAGCCAGGTCTAGAGGATGCAAAAATAGAGAAAGACAGCAGCATAGAGAGACAGGGACACAGATGTCCCATTCAGCTTAGTTGAGGTGCTAGACATGGAAGAACAGAAGCCATCTTGGACATCCAGCCATGTCAAGCCCTCATAGGGTTCTACCATTAGCAGCCTGTGAGACCCAAACTGAGCCCACTCAACCTACACAAGTATGAGAAAGAAGAATAAAGTGTTGATTTTAGCCACTAAGTTTTGGGGAGATGGTTTCATAGCAATTGATAGGCAAAATACTGGCAAGCTCAACATGTCTAAAATTAGCCCCGTTTGTTCTCCACTGTCTATGCCTCCATTAAATACAACAGCCTGATCTAATGAGGACAGCATTGATTGCACTTATGGTTCCCATGATTTAGTCTCCTCCCTGTGGATACCATAGCTTCCTCCTGGAGAATGGCTTCTCCATTGCAGGTAGTCTTAATGGGATGGCGGTTCCAAGAGACTTGCTGCCTACACTGAGCACAAAGGGGCCAAATGATGCCCCACCTGAACAATAAGGACTTGCCTGTTCGATCCAATTGTTTTGTTAATCATACTCCCTGTTCCAGAACTTGAAGCTTCTCGCAGTGACTCAGGGACATCAGAATGATTAGAAGTCACTTGCCGCAGCAGATTCGCTCCTGACCCTGGTGACAGCCCTGCTTGTTCACTTCTGCAACTACCTAGTCCCTGTTCAGTTCTAAACCTGATCTTTCTGTCTTTTTAGAGAATTACACAAGTCCCCTGACATTTTTACAGGAAACTATCAGTTTTGCTTATCTAGAGGAGGTTTCTGCTGATTGCCACCAAAGAGAGAAACTGCTGTTCCCTTTGGCCATGCCAGGAATCGACATCAACTTGATTCTTCCTCTGCCCCTCACATTGGTCCCTCCCAAACCTAAGTAAATACCAATTTTTTTTTCATTGTGTTTTTAATTAGCTCTCTAATTTCTTTTCCAAATTTACTGTCATGCCTTAGGTCAGAACCTCATCCTTTCTTGCCTACAACTATGCAAATTGACATAGTCCTCCTCTAATTGTCCATATCAATCACAGTGATCTTTGAAATGCAAAGTTGTCCTGACACACACACATGTACACCTGCAGTGGATCCTCATCCCCATAATATCAGCTCCAACACAGGTACTTTTTCACCCTGTCCAGCATTATAGCTCTGTCTCTCCTCACTCTCCCATGCATACCCTAAGACATCATCCAGCCAAATTCTCTGCAGTTCCTTAAGTAATACCTGCCCTCCTTCTGTTTTGGGGCCTTTGTGAATGCTATCTATTTTGCTTGGAATATGTCTTCACTCTCATCTGCCTGGAAAATAGCTGCTGGTGAAGACCAGCCACCACCTTCAAAAGCACTGCTTGACCCCTTCACACTGAGACAAGGTACTCTAACCAGCGCTATTGCTTAGTACAAAGGAGTGACCAGTTACATGAAGTTCACCATCCTGTACTATATCTTGGTTTCCTTGCCTCATTTCCTCATTACATGTTAGCATCTGTACTGTGCCTGGCACACAGTAGGTGCTCCAAAAGCATTTATTGAAATACTAACACTGTTACATCACCAATTCCTAGAATAGCACCTGGAATATTGTAGATGCTGATAAATAGTTTTTGAATGAAAGAAGGGATAAATGAATGAACAGACAATTGTCATGATGGATAGTAATTTATGTAAACAGGGAAGTTAAATCACAGGACCTCTGAAATCCTGCCTTAAAGGCCTTTAAAGGTTCTGGCCCCAAACTGTCCCTACAGTTTCATTTCCTACTACTCCTTGCCTTGTGCAATATACTCAGTCACCCTGGCATCCTTATTTATCCACGGACATGTTCCACCAGCTTCCATTGCAAGCCCTTTGTGCCTGCTTTCTCTTTGTCCGGAATCCTCCACCACCAAAGAGCTGTATGCTTGGCTCCCACCCCATGTCCAGGGTTTTATTCTAAAATTACACCTTCAGCAAAGCCTTCCCAGACCACTGACCCCTAAACCTCTCTATTCCTTTAGTCTACTTCAGAATTTCAAACTGAATGTGACATTATATCATACATTTATTTTCTTACTATCTCCCTCACTAAACTGCAGTTCTATAACGAGACACTCGATTTTCTTTACTGTTGTATACTAAAATTCAGTAGAAGGCTAAGATGGCATTTGCCTAATGCATATTTGCTGGATGATTATTAAACGAGGTCTGGGACACTTTACATCTTATTTCACAGGAAGGCGTGAGCAAGAGACAGCACATTTTCCAGCATCATATCTGACATTTGGGAGCAGAGCTGGCACTGCTACATCTACGGACCAATTCCCCTAACACCAACTGAAAACCATTTCCTGGGCTACTGCCCAGCTGCCTGACTCAGTAGCTGCTAGCACTTTCCCCTCTCAGTATCCTTCCTTTATTTGTTTCTTCCCAGGGTACCTGATTCACAGCTGACCTCAAGGTGATCACACTCTAATAGAGGCTGTGCCCGCCCATCCTCTACTTGATTCCAGCACCTAGAGTGCTCTATCCTTTAGGAACCCATCCAGGCCAATATGCCCCACTCAAGAATCTATCAAAAGCCCACACAACTCTCACAACTACCTACTCACTCCCTCAGTGTGACAAGAACCATAAGATTAAAACTTACTCGGCATTCCCGGCAGCTCTTGGTTAAAATCCGCTGACCTTCTGCAAGAACTTTTCCTCCATAGATACATTTTGCTGTAACGAAACAGAAAAATATGTCAGCTAGTCATGTGATGTAACTGAATCATCTCTGAGGTGCCATCCAACTGTAATAGATCCCACCGAGACATAGATTCTCAGCCTCCGAGCAACACAGATCTCTTTGTCTGAAGAACAACATGGGAATACTGTAGGGTACAACCCTTGACAGCCCACCCCCATGACAAGCCCCATCCTGAGTTTGCCTTTCCTGTGCAGCAAGAGCACACAGTTACTTCACTGTTGCAGTTGCCAAAGGAACTATAGAATGAATTGGTATGGAAGATGTCAAATGAGGAAAAACTGGCTGCCATCACCTTGGAGTACAATTAGAAGGGGCTTTGATTCAGACATGCCAGCTATAGAATAAGTGGCTGAGTGAAAGGGGCCTCATATATCTTCTGTTTATCAGAACTTTGGCTGCAGTGGGTAAGGATGTCCTTTATTTTTCCTGTGATCATGGGAGGCAGCTGTCCTTAACCTACCTGTTCCGAAGGCACTCAGACAACAGAGAAGTACAAGCCAGTCCAGCAAATTGCTACCTCAATGCACCAGACAGACTGTCTGTGGAAAGGAGAGCTTGCCAGGCTAATAGAGAGGGCAGGGTTGGAAGTAGGCCTTGTAGAAAATTTCAAAGAGAAGTAGAAACAGAACTTCAATTTAGATTCCACTGGGGCTCTGTCCATGACTTAAATTGCTGACTCGATTCAAGCAAGTACAAAATATGTCAGTCTGATCTGACCCTGGTATGAGGCCACCACATTCTCCAGCTGGTGCAACAGGAGCAAAGAAGCCAAGGACTGACTGCTCCCCTTCCAGCCCCAAAGAGGATCCTTCTTGCACTTGCTCTCAGGAGACGCAGAAGCAGAGAAGTTTATTCTGAGAGCTCTCTTCCTGCTAACTCACTGCTTGTCTTATCAAAGGACCTCAGCTCGCAGAACTTCTATTTCTATACATGGTTTAGAATGTATAGATTACGTTCGGTAGTTTTCCAGTTCTAACATCTTCTGATTCTCATGGAATGTTCAAGTATATAGAGCTTTAGTGATCGGCTGCTCCAGCCCCTTCTTTTATCCACAGGAGGAGGAAAGCACAGAGACCGTAATTTACTTAACACCAGACCTCTCAGTGGATGCTGGGATGTGCTACTTAGAGCCCCTCCGAGACCAAAAGACACATTCCCACTGCTGTTGGAACAGCTGGCAACAGACAGATCTCAGCTACCTATTCAGGGCTTGCCCTGGGCTGTAGAGGGCACCTTGTCCAAAGTCAGGTTGCCTTTCCAGGGCAGCCCGTATCCAATAAGTGGTTGAAGAAAGTGTGGCAGAGTCCCAGCCCCATTGCCCCAACTCAGGATAACTCTAAAAGGCAATGTCCAGTTCTGCAGTTCCCTGTAGGAGTAACTGAAATAACTGTTCTAGCTACTTGGCAGTTCAACTTGTTCTTCCACCCAACTATGCTTCCTTTACCTCCTCATTCCTTCCCTAGAACTGATTCTCAGAGCACTTTCTAATAAAGCACATGCAAATCTCCATTTCAGAGTCTGTGTCCCTCAGAACCTGACCGGCAGCAGCCCTGTATCCCACGCAAACGTACCCTATTCACATACTCTCCTTTCAGTGAATGGTACCAGCAACTGCGTTGGCATCCACATCAAAGTACCACAGGTCCTTCTAACTTCTGCCTCTTATTCAGCTTTGTGTCAATCAATGCCCAAGTGCTAAACATGCTCCCTCCATAAGTTTCTCAGTTTCCCAGACACTACCTTCATTCATGAATCATCATCTCTCTTGTTAGCACCACGGAGCTCCCTGGCTTTCCAGTGTCTTCTCCAGCTCTTACTCATACAACAGTCAGGTACATGTTTTCTACATGCAATACAAGGTCCTCCTTAAAATCATTATGAGTCCCTGACACCTTAAAGATAAAGTCAAAGTCCTCTTTTAGCACACAATACCAGTGTTGTGGCTCTTCCTCTCTCCTAAACGTCAAAGCTCACCAACTCTTGCGCTGTTGCTCACCTCTCTCCTACAGTATTACCACCTCACATACTCTAGCCACGCTGTCTCTCTCACTTCCAGGCTCCACATAGACTCTTCTACAGAGATAAGCGGCCCTGCTTATTTCACTGACAGCTTCCATGAAGCCTTCGCTTCCCCCAAGAAGCCGTGCCTGCTCTAACCACTGGTGAACTGCCCTCACTTTGTGCTCAGGTTGTTCTTGGGCACTAGCCTAAGAGACTATGCATTGCATCCTATCTTAATTGTACATGTAATCACAGGGCTCCCTTCTCACTGTAACTTCCCTAAAGGGAGGGGCTTTTCCCAGTGCCATCTCCAGCCCCCCCACCCCAGTGCCTCTCCTTGCTTATTTTAGTAATAATAGTTTTAGAATTCACGTTCTCTCCTCAGGAGCAAAAGCCAGTCAAATCTCCTGATTTACACCTGAAAAGTTCTGCTCTTTAATGCAACTTTTAACATTAAAAGTAGATTCCAAAGGTTTCAGGAAAAAAAAAAAAACAAAACAATGACAAAGGATTCTCTAAATGCGCCTTTCTTTTTTCTCCTCTTTAAAAAAAAGAAAAAGAAAAAAGAAAAAAAAAAAACCTTCCCTGGTCCTCTTATATGCCTTAATTTTCTAGATAAGGCCATAGGCCATGACTCATTAGTCTTAATGATGATCTGGACTTCCCAATTTACTTGCCTAGAAAGGCCACATCCCCTCGGGCCTGGAATTCTTGCTTAATAAATTCCCACACTCCCAAACACAGCTGCTGCCAACTTGGCAAGGTGGCTCGCTCCAGAGTGACAGCTCTGCTAAGTGCTCTGCCGTCAAATCTGCCATCTGCTCCTTGGCCCAGGCTGGAAAGTACAGAAACAGGTATTTTTCTTCCACCTTTGCTCCCTGCCACTCCTGCAATGGCATTATCACACTTGCTACCCTGTTTTAAAACATGTGCCTGATTCCTTTCTTCCTCTGTGACTGACTCATCCCAGAACTCCTTTTGGAGGTGAAAATGCTTTGCTGTGTACAGTCTCAGCACATTCAGGGACATGTCCATCCTTCAGATCCTCTAGTCTGGTAAAAAAAAAAAAAAAAAAATTCCATGTCCACTGAACACATAGCAGAGTGTTTGGAAGCTGGCAAATGCTCCCAACACATTCCTGCACTTTTCTCATGCTGCAGCCTGTCATCTCAGACAACTCAGGATCACCCCTAGAGGTCACAAGAATTTCCCTTCTTCTCTCATACCCACCCCGATTTCTCCGACAGCTCCCTTCCTTCCCCGCCTCTGCCTTCCATATGCCTCGCATCAGTCCTCATTATCCAACCTCTTGATCTACAGCCAAAAGGCTTATTTTGGATGTCTGAGGAAATTCAAGCATAAGGTGAGTCAGGCTCTGGTGCCTTTGGCTGGGGCATTTGGGACTGCATTTCAACAGCTTTCAGCGCAAGTAGAAATGTAAATGGACACCTGAAGCCCTTCATACCACACTGGGGACATGCAAACTAGAATATTTCACAGTGTCCAACCATGAAATTGAAACCTGGCATCCACACACACCTCTCCATGATGTCAGACACAACCGTACTGGGGATTCAGAGAGAGGCATGCGGCCGTGTCTTCTCACATCCACAGTCACCTAGCCCTTCACATTTGACCTTGATTTCTCAAGTGGAAGGATTGAGCACTTTTGCCATTTGGGTGCACACTGAATAAGCAGCTGAGGGGTACGCCTGACGCCCCTGTCAGATGTGGCTCTGTTGCTGCTGTGTCTTTATTTAGGTATTTGTACACACTCCAGCCATCCCTTAGCACTCAGCAGTGCAGAATGTCAAACTCAGTGTCTGCTTTACACTTTAAAGGAGAGTGGCAGATCAGAGGGGCTGAACACCCAAGGATTCTTCCCCCTCAGTGAGCTGATTCACAGCTCGGGTTCCAACACCACCCCTCTGAGCAAGACTCCCACATCAAACTGGAGGTCGCTCAAGGCACCTCCAACTCAGACATGCCAAATAAAATGTATCAGTCCCCAACCTACTTCCTCCACCTGCCTTATTTCTGTTAATCATACCATGAGTCTCCCACAGGAACTTGTTGAACACCTGGCAACCTTTGTCTCACAGATGCTCATGCAAAACAATGCTACCATGTGCCAGGTCCTGTAGCTGTCACTCACATCCGTCTCTTCCTTTGCATCTCCCCAGGCTGTCTGCCTGCCAGCCTTTTCACCTCTACCTGCAAGGTACCCAAATCCCACATCCGGTCCCTCTATTTCCAGCTCTCTTGGTGTGCTGGTCTTTCCAAAAGCACTTTTTTGAGGATGCCATATCCCTGCTATAAAATCTTGCTTTTAAGTATCAAAACCAATTCTGTGTTTACTTCCATGAGTTTGCATGTGCAATTTCCTCCAGCAGATGTCTTCTTACTTTGTACACCTAATAGATTCCCACTTATTTTCAGATACCCTCCTGAACTGTTGTCCACAAGGTTTTTCTCCACCCTCCTCACAGGCAAGTTTCTGATGGAGTTACCTGCTCCCTTCTCTGTGCCATTTTTGCAAATTAAATCGTGTTCATGTCATACAACACTCCTGATGGTGACAGAGATAATGAGTGCAGTGAGTAGAATAGATAGATTAAGGACATCAGCTACACTGCAGCTGGACTGCCTGGATGACCAGTGCTCAGAGACTTTGGGAGCATTACTTTTCTCTCTCATCTATAAGATGGGAAAAATAGTGGAGCCTACCACTTGGGCTTGTTGAAAGAATTAAATGAATGAATATCTATAAAATGAATTAGTTCCATGCCTGATGTAGAATGAAAGATTGACATGTCACCACTGTTTCAGCCAGAGTACAGGACAATGTTTGGGACAAGGGATCTCAGGAAGGATTAATGAGTGTCATCAACAGGATTCAATTTTCATCATTCACATCCAACCCAGCTTAATTTCTACTTTGCTCCTATAAACATCAAACAAACAGAACAGTCTCCCGCTCCCTGCTATACCGTTCTTCCTCTGCAAACATTGTATTACATAGCTGGAAGGTTCCTTCTTCCCCCTTCCTCCCATCTCTGGTAGATCTCAAATCCAGCTACCAAAACAATACCGGTTTCAAGAGACTGCTGCCTGCAGACTCAGATTTAGTAGGTCTAAACAGGGCCCTGAAAACCTGCAACTTAAAAGCTACCAGGGGGTGTTTAAAGCAAGGTATGCGCAATATGCCTTGGATAGAGTAGATATCCAACAAATGTATGAGGAGCGGAACAGGTGAACCACTTCCTAGACTATGCTGGATGCTCAAAGTTCTCTTTAGTTCCAAACAGAAGCCCTCATCTGCATGTGCTCCAGCTCCTGAGGCCGTTCCAAGTGCAGGAAAACTGAGGCAGCCCGTAGACAGCTCAATTTGCTTTTACACATCGGCTCCTGTTGTCTGAGTCACACCAGTACATTTCCTTGTGGCCCCGAGAAGACCGCCTCACGCAAACCAAACGCAGGAAACTCGGGAGAAATGCTATGCATATATAAGACATTTACTCGAGGCAGTTCTCCAGAGAAATGGAAAAGCACAAAGTAAACACTACCATTTAGATGGAGGATGTCCCCCAAATTTCTCATGAGTTCAGATGTGGGGCTTTTGGAAAGTGATCAGACAACAGCCATGCTATACTAATCAATGGGCTGATCTCTGGAGGGGTCCACTAGGAGGCAGGGCCTGGCGGGAGAGGTGTGCCCATGCGGCGTGCCTCTGGAGAGTCTGTCTCCCTTCCTCTCCCCTCTCTTCCTGGCCACCACAGCTCTAGCACCTCTTCCTCCACCACGCCCCTCTGCTATCTTGCTCTGTTTGGGAGTCAGCCTATCAGGGGCCAAAATCATGATCCAAAACAAACCTCTCTTCCTTTAAGTCGTGGGTGTCAGGGATTGTTTCTTGGAGACAGAAAAGTGACTATAACAGCAAGAAATGGAACTAATGAAAGATACGGTATCCAATAAATCATGGTTTCCACCATAGTCACAGTAACATTAAGTATGAATGGGTTAAATGAACCAGTGGAAACAAAACAGTCCAGGTTGTCAAAGTAGATTTAACTATATGATCCAAATGTATGCCTATTCATATAAGATACACCTTATGTTTTCTTTTGTATCAGTTTTCTTTTTTATGTATTGTGTTATTTTAAATGTCTAAAATGATACACATTTATGGCACATATCATGATGTTTTGAATTATGCACACATTGTGCAATGCAAAATAGAGCTAATTAATATACACACTGCCTGACAAACTCAACATCTTTGAAAGGGACAACCAAAGAAAATGTTCTCTATCATTTTTCTGATGTGACAATGTTTTAAAGCTTCTAGAAATTCCACTACTATCAACCCTCATTCTCCTCTCTTCTCAGACCCACTAACCAAACCAACATAGGCATCTTCTACAAAACTAGAAGTACTTGTCTTGGCTCTATTTTCTCCAAAGAGCATTCTGTTAGTATCCTCTACCACCTTCCAATAGAGTCTGCCTATGTACTAACTCCGCCCTCTACATGTGTCCAACATTCCTGCACTTATAACTCTGAGAACTCTAAACCACGTCTCAAACCCAAAGGCCAACTCCTCTAAAGTAGGGCAGACTCTTTCTTCACTATTCCAGACAGACATCCTCAGCCTAATGAATATTTCTATTAAGAACTAGTAAGAAATGAAAATCTTTCATTCAGAGGTTCTCAACCTTTTAATTACCCAAGGAATCCTGTATGGTTCCTTTTTTATTTTTTATTGAGTAATAGTCAATCATTTATTTGTAACCTCAGTTAAATTCTGAGCATATCAAACTATCAGTCAGAGATGCTGAGAAAATTAGGACTACCTAACTACGCTGATATGAATTCCATACGAAAGCAAAACTACACCAGTATTTTAGTTAGCATGTGTATCAATGTCTTTGTAAAAACTATGAAATATTTTGAAATACTTTTTAAAACTTAAAACTCTCAAAGGAATTAAAATAAAGAAAAATGACTAATCCACAAATACCTAGTGAGAAGACAATTTAATAATATATATTAAGGGTCTTAAAATGTCAGCTTTTGGCTTAGAAATTCTACTCCGGAGAATTCTACTTAAAGAAAGTATAAAATGCTGAAGCATACAAAATTGCATTTTCTATATAAAACACATTATCAAAGAGTAATTTGTAAGAGTACAAAGTGGGAAATAATCTAGATAGCCAGCAACCGGAGAATAGTTAAATAACAACAATGGGAAACAATGATTAAATGAGAACAATTTTTTAAAAACATAGAAACATAGATAAGTGCTAATGGTAAGTCAATGAAGTAGGATATGAAATTGTCTCCATGGTGACCTCAAAAATGAAATCCACTAGAATTTCAAGCATGACTATTATCAAGTGATGATATTTTGTAGATTTCTCATTTGAATCTTTATCCTTCTCTGTGTTTTCAAGCATTATGCAATGAGCAGAGTGCTTTAATCATTTAAAAAAAGAAGGGAAAAATCAAAAGTCTAAAATACAAAACATCTAAAGGACCCATTTCACCTGTGTTCAAACAACATCCTCTAATTATTTGTATAGATCTATATAGGGAATTCAAACTAATGGACTAAAATAATTTCATATTTTTAATGGATACTTGAGTTTTTCACCTCTTCCACTGCTCACTCTGATATACAATATCAAGTTCGTAAGACAAAACAGAACTGTGCCGGCGAACAACTACTTTCCTATCACAGGATCAAACTCGAAATCAACACCTGGGCCCTTGAGCTTACTCTCCTGCCAGGCATGACTCTAAAAAGCCTTTGGAACAGAATTAAGTTCCACTCTTTAGACCAACTTCAAAAACACTTTCCAGAGCACTGGCTGTACTGTGCCTACCAGGAAAAAGAATATTCCATACTCCCTTTTTAAAAAGCTCAACAAGTCTTCCAGCTGGTATGGCCAGAGCAGTTATTGATCCCTTCCTTCCTCTGCCAGAGTAGATGACATGCTGTTCTGCCCCCACCAACCCACCAAAAAAACCAACCTTGATACTTTGAAAGCCCACTGGCGTTGGTGTGATTCTTTTGGCAAATAAATGATATTGAAAATTATCCACTGGGTGCCATATTTCTAGCTAACCTGCCCTTTTCTGTGGTTTGCTATGAAGAGTATAAGTTCTGCAGTGGACAAAACTGATTTGGCACCTCTCTGCCCCGCCCCAAGCTGTCACCTTGGTAAAGTACCATTCTTAACCCTGAGCTTCCTATAAAATAGGACAATAACACCACCACCCTCAAGGACTGTTAGGACAATCCCATCAACTGATAGCATTAAAGCACCCCGCACAGGGTAAAGTGCATCACAAGTGTGCTAAACTGAGCTTGTTTTCCCTCTCACCGCAGGACTCCATCTGCCTCACTGCTTCATCTGAAGTACTGCCCTCTGCAACCCAGAAGATGTTACATGGACAGGCCAGCACTGAGGAAAAGCACTTCAGTACTGATTTGAATTTCATCCTGAAATGTCTAACAAAGACCCCCCCATAACAAGAGAATCTAGCCCAAACCTCAGAATACAAAATGGAATTTGGTCCTTCCTCACTTGATCATTCAGAATTGGGGGAACCAAAACACAAGAAAACTTGGAGTTGTTTCCTGATTATACCCACCTAGTTGAGTGACCCTGTACAAGTGACTTGATCCCTCTGAACACAAGTCATCTCCACAGAGAATGAGAGAACAGCAACTAAGGTGGCAAAAAGCCACCTAAAGTATCTGCCATGTTGCAAATAATTAAAATATCGTGGTGCTTCTTATCAAACACTTGATATTACATCAAGAGCCAGCACTTCGTTTCAGTGCCAATTGACTGGGGCCCGAAAAATAGAAAAAAAAATCCAAAAGCACTGAGCCCCCCACACTGAACCTGTTAGGACTTACGTCGGCAGACCTTACAGCACTGGCCCGCAATGTGCACAGGGAGGGAGTCGGGAGAACAGTTGAGAGGGGGACAGGACATCCGCCGGCATTCCACAACGCCACTCTGAGGAAGGAAAGACAAACAAAGGAATCTCAGAAGTAGCTTTTAGACACTCCTGTTGCGGAGAAAATTCACATCTCACACCAAAACCTCATCAGAGAAGAGAACAGTGTGAGGAATTCCCACTCCACTCGATGACCACAAAGAAAGCATCTCCCCAGCCCGAGTGAACCCGCGTCACCTCAATTACTTCTCTGATATACATCACTGGCTTCCTCTCACCTGCCCGTGTGGACTAAGTAGATTAGGCAGAAAACAAAAAAAGCCTATTTTTACAAGAACATAAATAACATCTTTGGCAGACCCTGTCAATCATTTCTCAAGCTCTAACAACCCATTTTGTATTTTCCCGGACAAACAATGGCATTCGTCAGATATTTATCAAGTAATTTCAACTGGACACGGTTTGCATGCTGATTTTTAGAGGGGGCTGTCGTAATTCTCTAAAATAGGTGGGATGTACAAGTGATGGATACCAGGGAGCGAGGAAAACACCTTGCAGTTCTCTGAAACAAATGACAGATACCATGCAAAATACAACAAAAACCCACAGAGACTAATTAAACCCCTCTTAAAAATACATTTTAGCTGAGAAAAGTTGTGATAAAGCTAACTATTAGGATGTATGAAAATCAAATGAGTTTCTTCCCCCTGTATACCTCAAATTCTAAATTCCAAACAGTAAGTTTCTTAATAATATTATTAGATCAACTTCGAGTGCAAAAAGAAAAATCAGATTTTTAACTCCCAAGTATTTAGATAACAAATGACAATTTTTCAGCATCCACAATTGCTTGAATTGCTAAGGGATGGTACATAGAAAGGAATTCACATTATATATTCAAGAACTCAATTACATTATAATTAGTACGCCTGTTCCCTTAAAACTGTTTTTACCTTATTTATTTCCAGAAGTACTTACTTTGCATGTGCAGTTCCTGCAGTGATCACCATCAACCCAAGAGTCTTGATCCCGATAGAGCAATCCACTCACTTGACAGGTCTTCTCACAATGACAGTTTTCCAATTGACTAAGTCTTGTCTCTGCATAATTTAGCTGCAGAAAAAGAGTTACAGAGTATAATTTGTATAATTCAGTCATCCTAACAAAGCAATAACAGGGAAAAACTACCCAAACAAAAAGAGAGAATAAAATGCTCGAAACAGTTCCACAGATTCTTAGCAAGATATGTTTTTCCCCCCATCAACACAAAGTTGAATCATTCTCAATTGAAGACACATTGACTTCCATGGTCTAATGAGTACCAAATGAGACATTAAAGTGTATCTCGGGAACCTCATGGGTGTTCATAAAGGTGTGTGCTTTCAATTCAAGCCTGCGCAGAAACCCACTAATGAATGTGTTCTCAAGGACTTATTAGAATGTTCACTGGAGATCTAATAAGGAACTCAAATGCACTACATTCATCTCCCATCATCGTCTCCTGTTACTCACACACTAACTAGAGTGTCATAGTTTACAAGCTAGGGAATCACTGCTTCCTTCCCAATGAGAAATTCTAGGGAGCAAGGGCTAGAGCAACAAAAACCAGTCTAGTTTCCCTGGGTCATTCTCCCCAAACAGAGTGACCCAGGGATTTACTGTGATGTTCAGGTGAAGGTCAGGTGAGGTGAGCAAACCCCTAGTTGAGATCAGAATTTTGTGAAATAACCTTTTCCTTTTTTCTAGGCCACTCAATCATTGCCACTAATTACAGAGTCTTAGCATCTCCAATTTCAAAAGAATTATAAAGTTTGGGTATCTTCAAAAGAAATTCGTCATGGTGATTACTCATTTCCACATATCCAAGGGTGGAACACTTATTACCCCCAAGGAAACTCATGTTGTTATTGTTGTTGCTAGCTCTGGATGTTTGGAACAACATTTTGGTTTATGATGTGAGCTCTTTCTCTGCATTTTTCCTGCTACGTTTAATTTGTCCGTGTAACCCATACCAAGCAAGTCTAATCTTCCAACATTTGAGGTTCTCCTGGCATTGCGTTGGAGCTTGACCACATTCAACACGACCAGATTTTTTAACAGCTCTTTACAATATGGTTCCAATCATCTCTCCTGAATTGTTTCATCCAGCCTACTTCAATTTGAGTTTATAAACATAGAACAGGATCTGGGTTGTGCCTCCGTAGAGAGCTTTCCCACAAGCACAAGGCCCTGGGTTCAATCCACAGCACCACAATAAAAGAAAAATATATGCGAAAAAGTCTGAATGTAGATAGCTTTTTGGCCTAAACTATCTCTTGCCATAGACATGCTAAAGAACAATTCAGCCCAAGAGCAATATGACTTTTCTCTCTTTTCCCTTACATCAGACTGACATGACTGGAAAACAAATTCCATTTCCTAACAGTTCATCTTATAATTTCTCTTTTTCTTCTCAATCACACTTCATGTATCCATGTCTTGAATCTTCTCCCATATACAGAAAATCAGTTTAATCTCTGATCCCACACAGATTATTTTGAGCCATTATTTTAGGTATAAGGGTTGGACCTCAAGAACAACAACTCCACCACCTTTCTAGGTGAGATTGAGTTTCAATCGATACATGCCCCCGCAATTACCCAACAGTGCTACACTCCATGTGAAATTCTAACTTTCAGATTTGCCATTCATTTCATCCTCTTCCTCCAAACTTTTAGAATATTTCAGGAAAACTTGCCCATTGCCTACGTGTTGTGGGTGGTAGCAAAGGCAGAGAAAATAACACCCTCAACAAAGTACATGCATCATGATCAGCCCCCAAGGGTCTAAGGGTTGACTATCTGAAATATCAGCAGCTTCCTGTGACTCCTTTTAATATGTATGATCTTCCCAAATTTCATGTTTCATTTAAAACTCAAGCCTAATTATAGAGTTTCTAGAATCTGTGATAACTAAGATCTTTGGGAACTCTTCAGGAAACACAGATAAAATACATTTCCAAGACTATGGCAAGGCTAAGTGACCAAACAATATATAGGTCAGAGATAATAAAAAGGAAATAGTAACTTAGTCCTTATTATCTTTATTTCATTGCTAGAAGCCTAAGTAGTTCCTCAGTAAGGTTACTTCCTGACCAAGGATTGAACAAAAAGAAGTTGAACAAGATCTCCACACCTCCTAAAGGTGGCTCAGAATAGTATATCTGTTTGAGAGAGAAGCATCCCTACCTTATCCTGAAAACCTGAAACAACTCTGGTACCATATCACTCCAAGGAGGAAACATCATAAAGACTAAATGATTCAAAAGGCAATTCTGTATTTATCCTGAAAATCTATGCACTTGCTTAAGGTGAATATTGGTAATTATCAATACTGGTCCATCAAAGCTGAACTATATTCATCTATAAACTCAATTTCTGAGGAAAACTTTAGTTTTAATATAATGAATCTTTTCTCCTTTCTGACCTTTGTTTTTATTTTACACGTGTTTAGCCTTTTCTGACAACACTGACAAGCCCTGATCTCTAAAATAATGTCTGTGTCAAACAGATACAAAGACAAAAAGATATTAAGGCAAAAAGCTAATTTTTCAAAGGCATTTAATATGTAATCTTGCCTTCCTTTTCCCCTGCTAAATCCTATAACAACAACAACAAACAAAATCAACTCTGAATCAAAAAGTGAATTTCATTTTCTGGCACTGGCATTAGCGTGCTGAATTTACACAAATTCACTTTCAAAAGGTATTTCTACACCACCTGTCATTTTCTGAGAAGACTGGCAGATCCAAAAGAGATAGGGTATCAGATCTACATCTCTATTCTGTTTACCTTTGTTCCTGTATTTATCTAACTAGCCACAGACTGAATCACTTATTCTTCACTCCCCACATTCTAAGCTAGACAGAGGAAGCATTTTGCACTGTAAGAGGTCAATGAATGGATCTGAGTATATTAGTCATACAGAACATTGCTTTTCTTCCTTTGGAATACTCTTTACTTCACATTTGCCACATAGAAGGGAAAATCCTGCTCTTGTTGTTGTTGTTGTTAAACCTTTAAGCTTAATTGAACAATCATTAATGAGCCCTTCAAAATAATGAAAAGCTCAAAACTAAATATGTTAAAGTTGAAATGCTTCTCAAAGTTCTCCTTGATTTGCCCACATAGATTTATCAAAGATTTAGTCACAGAAGTAATTTAAAATTGTCAAGTCTCTCATATCTTTTCTCTCTGAGTTTGAGGACAGAATGCCATTTCAGCACAGATGGGTTCAAGAGCAGGAAACTGGTCACCTGGCGCTACCATAATACACCTGCCTAGCAGGGGGACAGCTCCTGAAACACCCACACTGCCTGGGGCAATGTCAGAGTGAGCTGGTGGAGTAGTGGAGTCTTGAGAATGAAAGTGTCAGATAACAACAAGAAGGGGTATTATTACTTTAGATAGCTATCCTGCACCTTCTCAGCACTAAAAAGTGTAGTTTTTGTCAAAATGTCAGGCTTTCTCAAAAGACCTCTTACCCAGTCTCATCTCTGTCACTGGAATGTTAGTAAATGGAAACCAGCATCCTTGACCTTTATAGGAAAATAGAGAGTGGGCAATTCTAGATACACCCTGGGCTGAGATGATATTTCTATCTGTTAGTTTCTTTTGTTTTGTTTTGCTTTTGGTCTTTTTGAGATAGGGTTTCACTATGCATCTCAGGCCAGTCTTGAACTCACTTTGTAGCCCAGGCTGGCCTTGAACTCACAGCAATTTTCCTGCCTGAGCCTCCCAAGTGCTGGGATTATAAGCGTGTGCCACCACGCTGAGCTTCGATCTATCTATTAGGCTACCAATTCCTGTCCTGCCTGTACCCTGAGCAATCTCACCAGCAGTGTTCTGGGATCTCCTCTGCAGCTCAAGTGTCAGGCCTTTCTGCTGCTTTCCAAGACTTCTCCGCACCTGCTCTAGACCAAGGCCCTGAAAGCAATTTACAGTTTCTGCCCTTCTTTGTGACACCAAAGCACCAGGGAAGGGTGCCTTTTCTTGGGACCATCTTTCCTTCACAGTCACCCTTTTTTTTTTTAACTCAGTTCAGCACTATAATGAACAGCGGCCACCTGTTGTTGAATGGCTATTGTGAGTCCTGCACCAAACTTCATTTGCCTGGTCCCCGGGTAAACGGTTATCACCATTCCCTACACAGGGAAGCAGCAGCTACCAGTCCAACCACTTGTTCAAGGCTATGACATGAAAAAAACATAACAAAAGAGGTCTCAGAATCAGATCAGCCTGACTCCAAAGCCCACGCCTTACCTCCACCATGATCAGTGATTACACTCCTATCTCATTCAAGGCTACTGGACAACTTGACCACACTTCCAATACTCAGCTCCAACCCCAGCAACTCAGTCTTGCCTCAGTAGGTTTACTCAACTACTGGCAGGGACTGAGTCCAGACGGACCTGGTGCCGTAGCGCTCCCTCTCCATCAGAAAATCATGTTTTGCTTTCAGTGTGCCTCATATCTCCAACTCCATCTTCTTTAATCAGTCAAAAAGGTAAGCTACACTTCTGCTTCCACCAAGATGGCGGACTAGACACCCGGAAGTACGTCACCGATTGAACTGACTGAAACACCATATTCAGTATACAAGCGGAAACTTCTGAAAATCATCACAGAGCTAACACAAAAGGAAAAATGGCACAGAGGTCAAAACAAAGTGACAGCAGAGATCTCAAGAGCCAAGCAAGCACCAAAGAACCTATACCCCACAGGTTTCTGCCCATAAAGTCCTATCTCGAAGGCTGCACAGATGTGTGGAGCAGAGTCAGAAGAGATCAGCCCAAGACTCTGGTCTTTAAAAAGCTCCTCCAGGAAGGTGCAGGGCCACCAGGTTGTACGCTGGTTTACAGTGAACATAAAGGAAACAAGCCTTGCACAGGAAAGCACAGAAGGAACATTTTCTATTCAGGCCTGAGTACTGGCTACATGGGGTTAGGGGGCTCAGAATTCTTAAAATTCTTTCCTGAGAGTTCACCTAGCCTCTCCTGGGCTCGAGGACTTATGCTTAACAGCATGTACCATGTGGTATCCTCCAGTGGTTCTGGCAAGAGCACACCCAATGTCACCCAGGATGACAAATTCCCCACTACTTCCCAAGGCAAACAAGCATCTCAAAGCCAAAAGAGGAGGCCAAGGCCTTGTTTCTGAGACCCTCCTTCCCGACAAGCTCCTGCAAACTGTACACTCACTCCCAAAGGGCATCATCTAAAATCTAGCTCAGCTCCATGAAGCAATCAAACAAGCATTCCTCTTTTCCTTTCTTTTTACTTGCCCCTTCCCCTTGCTGATCCCCAGCCTCTTGCTCATAGCAGCCACCTCCTTCTCTTTACCAGTTATTTCCTCTTTACATATTTTAACTCTCTTTCTAATCCCTCTTTTTTCCAACCATAAACTTTCTCAGTCATGTCAATTTTCAGAATCTAAGGACCTGAGCTCAGGTCCCAGCTCTGCACTGCTTTACAAAAAGCTACCTTTCTGGATCAGTCTTCTCCAAATAGGATAATAAACTTAGCCTCCAAGACTATTGTATGAATTGATTTAAAATTCTTAAATACTAGAACTAACACATACAAAATGTTCAATAAATATGATCTAGTTGAGTGACTTTCCAACTTCTTCTAGATTAAAGATTGACAAAATAAAGCTCAGGGGCCAAGTCTGGCCTACCACTTGTCTTTGGATGTCCTATGAGCTAAGAATAGTTTTTATATTTTTCAATGGTTATGATTTTAGCAATTATAAATTATTATATTTAAATGAAATAATTATATACATAATATGCTCAGTTTTGCTTCTTGGCTGAAAAAGCCCAATGTTTACTAGCAGGCCATTTACAGAAAAAAATTTTGACAATTCCTGTTTTGGATTACCACAGATTACACATTATGCAGTGAAAACGGAAGTACTCAGTTGTAGAATTATCATTCTCGTTACAGTTTGGAAGAAACAGACTTACAAATCTGCCAAAATGACAGGAAAGGTGGGATTCAGGAGGCAGATTAAACCATTTTCAGCTTGCTGTATCCCACCATTAGATACTTTCTACCTCCCTGGTGCCCACTTTACATTATAATGCTTTGAGGATAGAACTCCCTGTGGCTCCTGGATAGTGTACAGCTAAGAAGAGAAGAACGGCAATGAGGAAGAAAAGGCATCCTCAGAGCCAGAGAATGGAGACCCACAGCCACCTGAGGCTGAGTGACACGTTTCTTGTTTCAAACCTTTACTAGCATGCTAAAATATACTTAACAGTATTGAGATCAAACCGCTTCAGACAATATAAAATAAAAGCCTCTTAAATGCCGCAAGCTAGGTGGCAAATAACTGCCTGTGTTTCACATCTCCGCAGCACTGTGACGTGAAAGGCTGATGCTTTAGTCTCAAGCTCCAGACTCAATCTTTCTCTTTGCAAAAATATTCTATTTCTACCTCCCAGACCAAAGGGGACTTGGCTTGGCCAAAAGTCAAGTTTGATATAGAAACACTGTCTTCAGTGGCACAGCCTCTGGACCCAAAATACAGCCCTACCTCCCAATCACTTAGCTACCCACCAAATATTTCCTTCCTGCCATGCCTGAAGGTGGGCAGCAGTCATAGCCGCAGGTAGAAGAGAATGAATGTATCATCTTCACTGTTATTAAAATTCTTCCTTTTGCAGAATATAATGTCTCTCAGGCTCAAGTGAATTCTCTCCTCACCCTAGGCCAAACTCATATCCATCGTTAATTCATATCATAACAGCATCAGCCATATTTTCTACTTTTTCCAACGCCTTTCTCCACTAAGGCTCAGGGTTTCCATGATGCATCTACACTGTGTGAATAGATGTTAAAGTTTCTAAATGCTTAACTTTTGTCTCAGCCATTCCATGAGGACTTTCCTGAGGTAGAAGTCCCCTCTCACTCATCACTGTATCTACAAGCCTAACACACTGCCTGGCAAATAGAAGTTTCACACAAGATCTTTGCTCCATGAATGATGGGGAGGAAGAAAAGATGCAGAATGTTAAAAACTGAAAGTGTCAAAATGCAAATGTTGTTCCTCCTCATTTAACTTAGGCTCAGTCCTAAAACAAAGCATAGGTAAGGTCTTCCTGTGACAGTAATCTGTTTTTAACAACAGCTATTTTGCCTCTTCTTGATCTTTGGCAATAACTCTCATATCCAAAATACACTAGCTTACAAGCAGAAAGGATTCTAATTGTGTATCACCTCACGGTGTTATGAGGTTAATACCCTTGGGGAAATTCTTTTCCCACTCCCAGTAATACAGGAATCTGCAGTAATACATATTGCCTCTTGCTTCCAATATTTTTCTGTTTTTATTTTAAGGGGAATTTTTTAAAAACAACAACAAAATAACAACAACATAGACAAAAGCAAAACACAAAAACATAAAAATGATACAGGGTCTCAAAACAAAAAGATAGGAGTTAACAGTGGTTGTTCTATTGCATAGTGTCATCTTCAACAAAGTTGCTCAGATTAGCAGATGTAAGACTGCAAGATTGATCAAACCATTAAAGAGAATAAGAAATAATAAAAAAAATTAGAAACAATATAGTGCTTCTCTAAACAACCAAAATATTTTCAAGAACAGCATTTAGCTTCAGCCTACGGGTATCAAAAGTCTGAATGGTTATGCTTACTAGAGGTAGTCCCATTTCAGGGGAGAGAAAAACATTCTTGTCCTAACATACTGCAGGTGGCAAGGCTAAAAATGTTTGCATTATAACATATCACTCTAAATGCTTGATATGACAGAGAAAGAAATGAAACACCACAAGTGAAATTTAGATACCTACTTTTGCAGTCATCTTGGCCAAAAGCTCTTGTAAATCCATTATTCCTTGCACCAGGCTTAAGAAATCACTGCAGGTAGGGCAAGCTCAATAAAGAAAATATAAAATACATATTGATCTCGTGCTAATGTAAGAAAGAAAATTTTAAAACAGTTATTCCATAGTAGAAAGGTTTTTGCTCTTTTGGTTAAAATTTTGATGAAGGCAGAGAGGATTTCAGGTCTGGATCTTTTTCTTTTTTAATAAGAAAAAGAAACAGGTAAAAAGGGCTATTGATTAAGAAAGCCACACGACATTTCAAAATTAAACCCTCATTTTGACAAAGAGGTGAAGAAAAAATATAAAGATCATAAGAGAGAAAAAGTGAGTTCATATCCAAGTCCAAAAGTTTAAAGAATAGCTTTGTAGAATAGTAATAATTTAAAATACACACATGTAAATAAAATTGAACATACCTGTTTTACAATACAGAACCTGTTCACACAACCCTTCCCCTGCCTTCAAATTTTGATTTTGCATATAGGAAAATCATTTTAAAACTTCACACACACAGAAGCATACAATGTAGATAATGAATTTCCTCCTGGTACCCTCACCATCTCAGAAGCCAATGCTTGTCTTCTATGTATGCCCTTCCAGGTGTGTTTCTCCGACATTATTAACAAGTTTTGCGATATTTAAAACTCACAAATGTTTTAAGGTACTACTTACTGCGATTTAGGTTTGGACATTGTGTTATGTATCCATTCGGCATAAAGATGATCTTTCCATCCTGGATGATCCCCTTGATGAAAAAGAGATAAGTGGTAATCAAGAATCCAGTCACAGTTCAAGTGGCCCTGCACAGGCCCACAACCATGTAGGTCAGATTATCTTTTAGAAAGACTGATTCACTCAAAAGGTGAGCTGACCTTTGCCCACACTGAACCTCTCCAAATTATTCTCTTCTAGAAACTCTGAGCTGTAGGTTCATTTTGCCAAAGCCCAAATTAGCTACCACTGTTTAATTCCAAAGAGATCACAGCACCTGGATCTGTTGGTGAGAGTTTTTAAACTCTCAAACAGACACTGATGTGATTAAAATCCTCTTCAATGCCTTAATCATCCTGGTACATTAAATATTGCTGATTTACAGGACTTCTCCTTTAAAGTGGGAGAAAAGACGTAATAGACTGAAATATTTCCACTGACTCACTTAAGCAAGGAAACAAAACTAGACCTCAGAAAAATTCCCTAATGATTTACCTCCTCCACTGAGTATTACTGAGGCTTTCTAGGTCTTTAGACTTGCTCAACCTTTGTGAGAAAAGGAGCTCTCTTCATGCTGTAATTCCTCTGGAAGAATACCCAACTTTAAGAACATCACCAGGAGCAGCATCTCTCAGTGAAAACAGTGACGTAGTTCTGGGTTTTTCATGTTAAATTTAATACTCTGTTTTTAGGATTGTTTGGGTTTTTTTTCTGATTTGACTGAAACGATTACTACAGAACAGATGGAAGATGTGGAAGGTGGTTCAGAATATTGAGCTTCACCTATAAATAAAATACAGGCTTTAGATAGTGCTACAAGTCTTTCAGAAGAAGCAACACATAACATTTATGTGCTCCTCTTCAGCAGAAGGCAATCAGCAAATGCTGTTTTCTGCTTATTATTTCAAGCTAAAGTATTCATTGGAAATATCAATTGAAATAACAAGATCACAGTACTACTTTGCAGAAATACACACATTTATTAACCTCCCCCTCTTCGAGGATGATACAGCGTTCATGGCAGCAAGAGGAGACAGCATCCCCATGGGGAGGAAGGCCTGGCTCCGCACCTTCACATTAATTCATCATCAAAAGCATAGGAGGGCTAGGGAGCAATTAATGGAGCACATGCCAAATAAATCAGCTCTGGGATTGGGTTGCTTAGTTTTCCATGCAAATTAACGCCTGCCTTTATCCCAGCTAGTTGGGAGGCTGAGGCAGGCAGAACACAATATCAAGATGATCCTAGACAAATTCCTTTAAAAAATGCTGAAAATGTAACTCACTACAGAAGCCCTGGGTTCAAATACCAGAACCAGGAAAAAAAAGAAGGCTAAGGCACCTTTCAGACACATTTGAAACATAGAAAAAGTATAAGAGGGTCTGAGTTCAAATTCTGGATCTGACTCTAACTTACTGATAGGCAATAAATAGACCGCCTTCTCTGAGCCTCAGTTACCTCATCATGAAAATCAGCTCTGGATAAAAAAAAAAAAGTTAATGATCCTTCTAGCACTCAGGTTCTAGGTCAGTGAAACAGGTATCCAAGTTCATATATATATTTCAGAGAGACAAAGCTATAAATTTCCATCAAAAACAAACCACCCAAGAGAAATTAAATATCACATCAGAACACATCTGTCCAATCAAGTTGATTATGGATGAATTTAGAGTAACAAACATATTAGTTTGCCCAGGACTTAGGAATTTCTGGGATATGGGCAGTTTCAGTGGTAAAACCAAGATATTCCCAGGCAAACCAGGACAGCTGCCAACCTTGGTGACACAGAGTGGGCAAATACATATATGTGCTGGGAAAAGATGAAGCCTCTCTATTTTCCATTCATCAGGAGACTATAAATCCTTCTCAGTTTTTTCATCCATAGGACAGTAACTCAGAAATGTGGATGAAATTTATCATGGTATCAATTATATTTCTAAAAAAATACAAAATCCATTTTAAGAAATATTGCATCCCACTTACCCAATATCAACAAACTGTAAGACACAGCTCTTTTCTTTTTTTCTTTTTTTACTTAAGTGACCCTACTGATTTTAGAGACCTGATAAATTACACATTGCTTCCCCACACCTGTCCCCTAGCTCTTCCGTCCCACTTTTAATCTCTGGCCCATGCGTGCATGTGTTACACAGATCAGTAGATGAAGGTCAATGATGTTGGCTGGGACAAAAACAGAAATAAGAGCTGATCGCTTCCCAATGCTCATTAACACAAAAACCCAAAGCACTTGGTATTTCTTCTCAAGAAAGGTCACGGGGTTGGCCCACACACTGGCGTAAAAACTGACCCTTGTCAAATGAATCAAGATCGGAATGTTAATTTGATGCTGAATGGATGTGATTCGCTGCTGGATTAAAACAAAGGTGGCGCTACAATTCAAATGCTAACTGTCACCCAAGGAAGTGTGAGCCTATGTGAGCCTATGCGGCAACATGCGTGTACAAAAAAGAGAACTTCCGAAACTGCTTCAGAAAGTGGGGAAAATGATGGATAAGTGTGTTGGAAGGAAAAAGGGGTTAATGGTAATGTTTTGCTGCAAAGGTTCTCAAACCACCACCCAGGACCAGGGACATGTAGCATCACCAGTAATGTGGCTTTTTAGCAAGCAGGCTGCACAGCAGGAAGTGACCTAGGGCAGAAAGCCAGGCTTCCTCTGCATTTACAGCCCCTTCTCATTGCTTAGAATACTTCCCGCCATCATACCAGCAGGGCCATTAGATTTCCACAGAAGCGGGAGCCCTAATGTAATGTGATCCAAGTACCTGCTCCTTTGATTCGCCTCAAACCACCCCCTACCCTGCACTCGTTGGAAGCTTGTTCCATAAAACCAGTCCCTAATGCCAAAAAGGTTGGGAACCACTGTTTTCCTGTAGTCATTTCTTAAATTCAGGCACTCACGATATTTTTGATCAGGCTTTTATTTATCCAAGCAGCTTCGCAAGAACGAGCCAGGTTTTGCATTGAGCTGCCATGTGGATCACTTAGTGACTAGATGTATACTGATAGAAGAATTTGCTAAACTACAGAAAGGGGTTTCCTAAAATATGAAACTACAAAGTAGCTCAATCTGCCTTATGCCTGCCAAAAAAAAAAATTCTCTATGAGGATTTCCATAAGAAAATGCACCTGCCAGCACTGTAACTACTCCCCAAAGAGTTAAGGAGTAAAAGACAGAATTTCTGTTATTTCTCCTCCTTTAACTTTACAGAGATCTATACATAGCTGGAATTGCACCTTAGCAGGGCCTGTATTAGCTGACCTCATTGGATCTCCTTTTTTCAGACTCAGGTTTTATTTCATATCATTCATCTTGGCAGTGTTTCTCAAATATCAAGTTCCTTAAGCTCCTAAATACTTGAGGTTTTGTTTAATAATTATGTTCCCTGGACAACCTCAAAATTTCTATTTCATCGGGAAACATTTTTAAAAGCTATTCCAGATCAAAGGTTCTCACCTTAAAAGAAACCTGCTCTATTGTCAACCACGGGTCTCTTTTGGAGCAAGAGAATTTATTCACTAAGAGTTCACATTTTTTAAAAAGAGATTCCTGTGCCTACATCTGAATAAAGTAAAATCTCACAAATTTGGACTTGAATGGAAGCCAATAGAATTACTAGATATAAATACCATGAGGACTATCTCAGTATGATCTGCTATTTTTTTTTAGTAGATGTCACAACGTTGGCACAGTAAGTATTTCAAAAGTATCAAATTCCTGGAAACTACCAGGCCATAGTGGTTTATGCCTATCATCCCAGCTCTTTGGGAGGCCGAGGCAAGAGGACTGCAAGTTCAAACCCAGCCTAAACAATTTAGCAACTTCAGGAGACCCTGTTTCAAAACAAAAAATGAAAAGCACTGGGTTTTGCTCCATGCAAAGGTCCAGAGTTCCATACCTGTATCAAGAAAAGAAAAATACTGGAAACTGTGAATTGCACAATATTGAATCACATAATTTAGAGAGTTGTTAGGATCATGTAGGGCAGTAAAGATATATAATCTAAAGATACATAATCAGAATTTTCAAAGAGGTTGGGAAAGGACTGTCAGGTATACTTAGGAAGTGATTCTGATTCCCGCAGTGAGACATACTGATCTAGGGCCAAGTCATCTGGTCATTTTACCATTGAGAAGCTTAACACTCTGATAGTTCCAGTAGCTTTCCTAAAGATCACCTTAATTCAACACCTTATACTACAGGCCTACCAACTCCAAAACCAGCACTGGATCACTCTAAAATGCAGGTAAAAGCATATCATTTGAGGGAGACCTGTAGCTACATGAACTAGCAAGATATTGCTACAAAGAGGTCCTATCATCAAAATGTGGTTCTATTTAATTGCCTGAATAGATAGCTACTAATCAAACATGTATAACAAATTATTTGCATTCGATGTTAACAGTTTGCTAAAACAGACTTTCAGTGCTAGAAAGCAGAGGTGTTTTCAGGTGTTAATATTTCCTCCTGCAATCTCATTAATGCTATCAATTTGCTGAACGATCACTTCCTCACTGTTTGCTCAATGCCAAGCCTCAGCAGATCTGAACATCTAACTAAATCTCAAGATGCACAGCACAAATTAATAAACTTTACTCTTCACACTGATGAAAGGGGAAAAACGGATACTTGTTTCCCCTTTTGTTAAATCTTCCCATTGCCACCCTCTCCTTGGGGCAGGCAGTTCAGAGTGCACTGGAAAATAACTGCGCACAGAGGCTGGACATTATGGCTCTTTAATGTTTGAGGAAAAGATGTCATTTCCATTACTCCCAGAACTTTTCTCATTTTGCAGTAGGAACTACAGGAAGATGCAAGAAAAAAAATTAGAGAATTGTGCCATTAGGATCCTCTTACGTATGGCAGAACTAAGATTAGGGGAGCTCTCCTCAACACCCAGAGCTTTCTAATATAAATGAAGGCTGCTGCTGTACCGCCAAATAATGCTAATTCTTTTTTAACATTTCTCTTTCCCTGCAGATCTCTGTTTACTCTGAAGAAAATGGTTCTTTTT